AGAATGATGAAGAGTAAAGCTAGAGTGGTCTCGTCTACCACCCGCTGATCCCTGGATGGCTTTGTTCTTCAAAGAAGGTCATGAATGCACCTGGACAGGCGTGCAAACGGTCGAGAGAGATACACACGGAAAATGAGATCGCCCCCCACCTCCTCTGCTCGGCCCATAGACGACGACGGAAGGACTGTTTTAGAATCCCTTCCGGACACGGGGTGTGCTTTCCTACAGGACGTGAGCATCACACACATGCACACGCACATGCACACACATGCACGCACATGGACGCAGACGCGCACGCACATGGACACACACACACACACACATGGACGCACACGCAGACACGCACGCACGCACATGGATGCACACGCAGACACGCACACGCACATGGACGCACACGCAGACACACACGCACATGGACGCACACGCAGACACGCACACACACGCACATGGACGCACGCAGACACACACACACACACGCAGAGACACACACACACGCACACACTATTTACAAACACAATGCTAACCCTTGGCTGAGCCTTGCTTGCTATGTGAGCCTAGAAAATTCCTGTCAGCACATCCACTCTAACCTGTCCTGTTCCTCACCAATTTAACAGCAATGACATATTTGGACGTTTTGCTTTTTTTGCTGGTTTGTTTAATCATCACAAGCAGCGCTGGGGGAAAAACATGTTTAAACAAACACCTTTTTGGTGGAAAAAAGTCCTTTACAGTGATGGAGTGTGAGCCTTAGCCACCGCTTGGATGCTGTATAAATGCGCAGCTGTATTGTGCGAATGTGATGGGTGGGAACGGGTGATAGCAGAATTATTTCTAACAGGTTCCCCGGCATCGCTAACTGCTAATGTACATACACTGACCCACACGTAGGTGACGTAAGGAACGCCGAGGTCACAGATGGCCAGGGGCTGGGTCTCTAAACGCACACGCAGGACGCGTTAACCACCTTAGATGCCGCTGCCCTGGCCCCCGGAGGCCTGGAGGCGGGGGTTCCCGCGCTCAGGGCCAGGCTCCTGTTCCGCCTCCTCAGCTGCCCGTTCCCCCGCGGCCACAGGTCCGGCTCCCTCACAGACAGAACCTGGACGCTCGCCATGTCTATTTAAGTCTCCCTCTGACGGACTTTCCTTTTGAGAATTTGGGGGGAAAAATGTTTTTCTAAAGGAGGCATGAAAAAAGAGGAGAAAGGCAGTATTTTCAGTACAGAAATACAAAAACAACTGTAGCAAATGTTGCTATAATTTTTTAGGACATATAATCAGCGTCCTATAATTAGGGTAGATGATCTGGTGGGAATAGATGTTGCTTCCCAGTCTCCTACCCTCTCCCTGCCCCCACCCCAGCGAAGCCACCCTGGTCGGAGTCCAGCCCCAGCCCCGGAAGGGAGGAGGACGGGGGGTAGCACTCCACTCCAGTCTGGCCGGGCTGTCGGGGTTCCCTGGACGTGGTCAGGGCTGCACTGCGAACCCCAGGAGCCGTCCCCAGCAGGTGGTCACATCTGGCAGAACCTCTGGGTCAGCCTCCGAAGGTGTTCTCTGCTCTCATGATGGACACAGGCTGACCGACCCAGTTTGGACCGAGAGCACAGAGTGGCCTCAGAACCGGAGACGGAGGGGCGGGGGAGAGGGGACAGACGCAGGTCCTGGCTCGCGGGCGCCGGGGACCGAATGTGCCGGACGGAGCTCCGGCCGAGCTCATCGCTGTGCTCAGCCACACCCCGGGAGACCCTCCGGCCCCTCAGTCACTCATCCCTCACCGAGGACAGTGTCCACTGAGTGACACACCGTCCGCGTAGCCCGATCTCCACAGGGCGCCACTGCCAGCCCTGAAGCGATGCGTTGGTGCTCACGTCGGAAACGGTACCACCGGTGATAGCGCAGCACAGAGATTCCCGCAGGAAGGTCTGAGGGATGTGCTTTGAAAGGGATTTGCTTCGGCCTCAGGCTTGACCACTGGCCCGTGGCCCATCAGGAGCGTTTGTTTTCATTTAGCTTTTTGTCCCTAAACGTAAACGCTTTTGCCTGTCACCTGAGCCAGAAGATACGTAAGTAAGAGTAGCACGAAGCTTCGAGAAGAACAGCAGCACTCACCTGTCTGCTTTACCAACATCCCCCGACAGGTCGACCAACATCAACTTTTACGAAGTCTCGGATGGGCATGTTCCTTCCACGGTGCGCACCTTCGATGACATCGGCCCCAAATTCGCCTTCTCCGTTAAGGTTGGTGAGCCTGCCCCGCAGGCGGGCATCGGGAGGGAGGAGGAGCAGAAGGAGAAGTTGAGATGTGCTAGTGGCTCTCACACTTGAGTGGACATCAGGTCGCCCGGGGGACTTGTTAGAATGTGGTCACGGGGCTCCGTCCTCAGAGCTTCCCGTCTAGGGTGGGTCTGAAACTATTTCTAGCAAGTTCCCTCCCAGGTCACAGAATGCTGCTGGTCCAGCTGCCACCCTGAGAGTCACTGAGATGACCCCGGGGGTGGGGGTGGGGGGGTAAACACGGGGCACTGTGCATGGTTGTGTGTCCTGGGTGCGGGCTAAGGGGTGTATTTCAAAAGAAACTTTTCAACATTAATCAACAGAATGTTGATATAACGGCTTGGTGCGGGCAGAGTCTCTGGGACGGCATTCGCGTGCCTTCTATCCGAGGAGCTCACCGTCTGTGTACAACTATGTTTTGTAGTCATGCTGGGCAGTATCTAGAAATATGTGTAAGTCCAGTTCTGTGGTCGGCTGGTATGAGCAGTTATTAATCTAAAGGTTGTTGTCAGTTGTATAAAGAGAAATTAACTTGCTAAAGCAGCTATTTTAACCATGGAGAAACCGTGGAAAGTAAGGGCATTCGCCCTCCACCCTGAGTCTGTGCAGTTTTCTTTGGTTCATCTCTGACCAGCCCGTTGCATGGCTGCAGCCCTGCAGTTCGGTGATTCCTAAAAAAAGTCTTTCGAAGAGCCTTGTTTGGGATGCAGGTGCTGGGAGGCAGGCGTACGAGTGGCATCCGGCCACGGCCTCCGTCACGAGACGTTGAGTCCGTTAGCAGTCACAGCAGAACAGCACGCGTGGGGAGCGTCGACAGCGTCGGCCTGTGGGTCCCGTGCCTTAGCCGCGCTGACCATTTAATCCCAGAGCAGCACGAGGGTGTTACTCCTGTGGGTCTTACCACGTTTACCTCCGGGAGGGCGTGCGACCGGCCACATGACCGGCGCCCCGCCTGTGAGGACAGGTGTGAAACCGTGTCCTTCCATCCCCATAGGTGACCACCGGCAGCATCCCCGTGAGCATGGCCTCCGTCCGCATCCGCCTCCCCCAGCTCACCACCGACAAGAACCCGCTCCTGTACCTGATGGGCGTGCACACGAGCCAGGTGAGGGCGGCCCGAGCGCCAGAGCGACGTGCGCCCTCGGGGTGGGCCTCGCCGGGTGGGTGGCCCCCCTGACAGGTGTGGACGGAGACTGAGAAGGTGCCCTCTCCTCCTGACGTCCATCTCGTATCAGCAGCGGGTGCTGTGGTGAGAAAGCGAATGTCAGTGTGGACGGCAGAGGCTCTTCCTGAGGCCCTTCCTGGGCGGGGAGGGGGGGTCCCCCCGCAGCGCCCTGGCCACAGAGGTCGGCTGGCCGGGGGTGGGCGGTCAAGCCCCCACAGGAGGCAGGTCATTGTTAGCGGCTGCCCTGCACCCTGTCAGCCCGGCCGAGTCCTGCTCCGCCCGGCTGCTCTGGTCCGTCCCTGTGTCGCGGTCTGAGGAAGGCGATGCCCAGACCCCGGGCACTTGAGTGGCGTCTCTGTGGCTCTGGCCGCAGCACCTGCTCGTCTTCAAGGCCCAGTGGTCCTCACAGCCGGGCTGAGAGCGCAACTCGGACCGACATGGCCAGCGCTTAGCTGCGCTGATGTCACTCGGGGTGCGCAGGGGACGACAGGAAATCAAAACCCTAAAGGGCTCCACAGCAGAGAGCCCTGCGTTACACTCAGGCTATTCTTTGTGTGTTTTTTTAATATATTTTTATTGATTTCAGAGAGGAAGGGAGAGGGAGAGAGAGAGATAGAAACATCCATGATGAGAAAGAATCATGGATCGGCTGCCTCCTGCATGCCCCCTACTGGGGATCGAGCCCACAACCTGGACATGTGCCCTGACTGGGAATCGAACCCTGACCACCTGGTTCATGGGTCGGTGCTCAACCACTGAGCCACGCCGGCCGGGCAACTCCGTCTGTTGTTGTTGCGAATTTATCTCCTCGCAGGTGGGAGCCAGCAGCCCCACCGAGTCAGGCAGGACCATGTGAGCTCGGGGTGACGTTCGTGAGGCTGAGAAGTGGGCCCAGGTGGGCAGTGAGGCCAGCCTGCCCGCCCCCCCAGCCCTGACCTGTGACAGTAGGAGCCTCACAGGCTGAGGGACCCCACAAACCGCGTGGCCTCCTAGACTGACGTGCTGCCCCCCTGCAGGCCGGCGACATCAGCTGCAGTGCCGACGTGGACCCGCTGAAAATAGGACAGACTCCGGCTTCTGTGTCTTTCAAGAGCGAGAATTTCCGGCACCTCAAAGACCTGGTGAGGATGGACTTGTGCGGGCAGTTCCCTCGGGGAGTCCTTGTCGGAGTCGCCTGGAAATGAAGCACTCCCCCCACCACAACCCCACCCCGACCCCTGACCCCTGCCCTCGAATGTCATAGGTTTCCCGTGTGCCTTTCTCAGCCAGGATGAATCAAGGGGTAGAAACGCACACCCAAGTCAAGATGAAGTTGTTTATGGGGTGATGGGGGTGGACAGGGAGGGAGGAGGGAGCAGTGGCTCCCTGTTTCCGTGGTTCGAGTGTAATCACAGCAACACGTGGTTGACGTCTGATAGCTGAACGTTCCCAGTAGAAGCTCGTCTCAGGGTTTGCCGACACGCTAGCCCCTCAGCGTGTCCTCCCTTCCGTGAAAACGGTTTGATTGTGTCAAAGTGACGGTTGCTACGTGGGAACAACATAAACCGAACATGACGACTCAGAAAACCACAAGAAACGGCAGTTCTCAGAAGCAGAGCAGCTGGGCACTCGTGTGACGAGCAGCCGCCGCCACGCCCTCAGCGTTAGTGCACACGTGGACACGTGTGTGCGCTGCTACGTGCATGTCCTAGGCTAGTGATGGCGAACCTTTTGAGCTCGGCGTGTCAGCATTTTGAAAAACCCTAACTTAACTCTGGTGCCGTGTCACATAGAGAAATTTTTTTATATTTGCAACCATAGTAAAACAAAGACTTATATTTTTGATATTTATTTTATATATTTGAATGCCATTTAACAAAGAAAAATCAACCAAAAAATGAGTTCGCATGTCACCTCTGACACGCGTGTCATAGGTTCGCCATCACTGTCATAGGCCATGTGACTGTCACAGGCTTTTTAAAATAGACCATGTTTTAGAGCAGCTTTAGGTTCCCCGCAAAGCTGAATGGAAAGTACAGACTCTCCCGTGCACCCCTGGCCCCCACATCGCACAGCTTCCCCG